GGATGAATCTCGTTGTACTGCAGCCGTTTTGGCTTTTGTACGACCAACGAATTTCTTCTTCATTCACTTTCCTACTAACTGAAAGTCCCCCTAACAATATTATCTCAAGAGATTCATCGAAACCCAGTTTCTCTTCACATTTAGTTGGATGGCACACAACGAAATGGGCCGGTGTCACCACATTAGCGCTGGAATACCTTTGATTTCTTTTGAGATGGCGGGTGGACGAGATTGGTAGATTGGCCCAGCCGGATGATGAAGGAGGGGTGCCTAGGACTTGTGACTGTTAACTTGTGTGAAGAAGGCATCGGCATACTGTCCTGCGACTCCGATGTCTCTATGCTGAACTTTCGTCCGCCATATGATGGACAACTACAGAGCCACAAACAATTATTTACGACAACCACCAAAAAAACATTAAACCGAGAGAAGTGGCTCACTGAAATTCTACTTCTTAGGCCCAACTTTGCGATCTTAAAGAGGCATTTTATGATTTGGGTGACTACTTTGTGCTTACCCTACATGCTGGTATAGAGTAAAGCTGATGGAGGAAGGGGAGATGTTGTAGTGACAACTGTCCTTGATGTGAATAAAAAACGTATGATACTGTAAACCTGAGGCTCGTTGTAGATTCGTGAATGCATGCGCCTTGTGTGCATGCAAAACACACAAGTTAACTGGCAATTGCGAGCTCTACATCAGAATCCAGGTTATTCAAGTCTTCTTCTCTTACTCGATGACTCTTCCTGTTCTCCCTCTCTCTTTATCTTTAATTCTGTCCAGCAGCCACAAATAATTCTTACTTAATATCATATACTCGTTCTTCCTATACAGGATGCTCTTTGTCTTGTTACTTTAATTAAATAGCTGTGAAGTCCCTATATCCGGCAAAACGTGGGTTTTAAAGACATTCTATCTGGTGTATGAGTTGTGTTCACTCTATTTCGTTTACGGTGATGAAGGACTGGTAGCTGAATTTTTGCACAATGGCATGAGTAGATCTGATATTCTCCATTTATCGAATTAAGTATTGTTCTTGTGACTACCATTAAATCAATAATATGAGATGTATTCACCCAACTTCGTTTAAGGTGATTAAGGACAAGTAGAAGCAGAATTTTCCCACAATGCTATGAGTTGAGCTGACGTTTCCATTGAATTTCACGAAAACAATAATTAATTCGAAAAATAAAGTATACTAGTTGATTGTTATAGCAGATAAACGTTTGCTTCATCGACAATTCTACCAAAAGAATATGATAAAGCAAGCACCAAGTTAAGTCAGTGTTAGCTTGAGGCTTTTGTAAGAATGATCTCAGCTCTGACGAGGTTCATCACATGACGAGCGAAATCTCAGCCCGTCTTCTTCCGAAAGGTTGAAGGATGTCTCATGTATTGCATCAGCCTTGACGTCGCATATATGCCAAATAGGTGCAGCAAAACGCGAATCAGCCGGCGTCTTCTGGTGAGATTGACCTATGAAT